TGAATGACCTGACAATGTACGTATCTGTAGGAAGATCAGTAGGGATGAATGATCTGACAATGTATGTATCATTTGTGACCTAAACCCCCTCCTGCTCTTTCCCTGCTGGACAATCCATGGTACTGCAACCTGTCATTAGAATGTAGAAAAACCCATCTCCACCATTGGGAGCTCTGCTAAAGGCCAGCTAGTGGTTAGACCCCGTGCCTCAAGGGAGCCTGTGTCATCTGCTAGAGGGATCTCCTTGTATATTTCTAAATTATTACTCATAAAACTTCTCTACTGCTACAGTCCCTTGCCTCCGAGCCTGACCCCAGACCGTGACAGTGTAAGCTGGAGGGGGATCTCACCGGGGAAATACCAATGTGTGTGCTGTAGGTGGGATTTTAATGGGGAAAAGACCAGTGTGTATTCTTGGGGGAGGGGGGTCTCACTGAAAAAAGACTGGGATACTTCTCATGTGGCTTTGAGGACAACATTGAATATACACAAATCCTTTAGACTACAGGCTTGGGGGGTGCCTTAAAGCTGCACACGGTGTTACAGAACAGTCCGATTTTCAGGGACAGTCTCAGCGACAGCATGCACAGAGGAACTGATTATTTCCTTGTACAATTATCTTGGCTTACATACAGCAGAAGTGCCCCAATCTGATTCATTTCATTTTATTCAATTCAATGTGGATACATTTTTTCTGGTTTTATCAGAAATATGTATTTTTTTCATCAAGCAGTTATTGACACAGTCAGGTTTTATGTTACATCAGTTTAGATGAGTCACACCAAAGAAAGGTGGCTGCTGATTGGTTTATCTGGGTTCCTGTAGTCTGTATATTGAGGTTTACTACTCACCTATACATTTTGGATAATTATCCCACCTAATGGAGGTTCCACTCTTCACACATTGTAGGGAGGAGTAAAAAGGGACATATCCAACCGAACAATTTACTGTCACTGTATCCCCAATATCATAAAATGTCTTCTCTGGATCCATCGTCAGTATTGTCTCCTCCGGCTTCCTACACAGAGCTGGAAAGAGATCAGAAGAATGGGACAATGAGAAAAAGGACTATTTTCTTTTAGCACAAAATGTATGTATCTGTAGGAGGATCAGTAGGGATGAATGACCTGACAATGTACGTATCTGTAGGAGGATCAGTAGGGATGAATGACCTGACAATGTACGTATCTGTAGGGTGATCAGTAGGGATGAATGACCTGACAATGTACATATCTGTAGGGTGATCAGTAGGGATGAATGACCTGACAATGTATGTATCTGTAGGGTGATCAGTAGGGATGAATGACCTGACAATGTACATATCTGTAGGGTGATCAGTAGGGATGAATGACCTGACAATGTATGTATCTGTAGGAGGCTCAGTAGGGATGAATGACCTGACAATGTACATATCTGTAGGAGGATCAGTAGGGATGAATGACCTGACAATGTACATATCTGTAGGAGGATCAGTAGGGATGAATGACCTGACAATGTACGTATCTGTAGGAGGATCAGTAGGGATGAATGACCTGACAATGTACATATCTGTAGGAGGATCAGTAGGGATGAATGACCTGACAATGTACATATCTGTAGGAGGATCAGTAGGGATGAATGACCTGACAATGTACATATCTGTAGGAGGATCAGTAGGGATGAATGACCTGACAATGTACATATCTGTAGGAGGATCAGTAGGGATGAATGTCCTGACAATGTATGTATCTGTAGGGTGATCAGTAGTGATGAATGACCTGACAATGTAGGTATCTGTAGGAGGATCAGTAGGGATGAATGACCTGACAATGTATGTATATGTAGGAGGATCAGTAGGGATGAATGACCTGACAATGTATGTATCTGTAGGAGGATCAGTAGGGATGAATGACCTGACAATGTACGTATCTGTAGGGTGATCAGTAGGGATGAAATACCTGACAATGTACGTATCTGTAGGGTGATCAGTAGGGATGAATGACCTGACAATGTATGTATCTGTAGGGTGATCAGTAGGGATGAATGACCTGACAATGTACGTATCTGTAGGAGGATCAGAAGGGATGAATGACCTGACAATGTATGTATGTGTAGGGTGATCAGTAGGGATGAATGACCTGACAATGTATGTATGTGTAGGGTGATCAGTAGGGATGAATGACCCGACAATGTATGTATGTGTAGGGTGATCAGTAGGGATGAATGACCCGACAATGTATGTATGTGTAGGGTGATCAGTAGGGATGAATGACCCGACAATGTATGTTTCTGTAGGGTGATCTGTAGGGACGAATGACCTGACAATGTATGTATCTGTAGTAGGATCAGTAGGGATGAATGACCTGACAATGTATGTATCTGTAGGAGGATCAGTAGGGATGAATGACCTGACAATGTATGTATCTGTAGGGTGATCAGTAGGGATGAATAACCCGACAATGTATGTATCTGTAGTAGGATCAGTAGGGATGCATGACCCAACAATGTATGTATCTGTAGGGTGATCAGTAGGGATGAATGACCTGACAATGTATGTATCTGTAGGAAGATCAGTAGGGATGAATGACCTGACAATGTATGTATCTGTAGGAGGATCAGTAGGGATGAATGACCTGACAATGTATGCGTCTGTAGGAGGATCAGTAGGGATGAATGACCTGACAATGTATGTATCTGTAGGGTGATCAGTAGGGATGAATGACCCAACAATGTATGTATCTGTAGGGTGATCAGTAGGGATGAATGACCCGACAATGTATGTATCTGTAGGAAGATCAGTAGGGATGAATGACCCGACAATGTATGTATCTGTAGGAGGATCAGTAGGGATGAATGACCCGACAATGTATGTATCTGTAGGGTGATCAGTAGGGATGAATGACCCGACAATGTATGTATCTGTAGGAGGATCAGTAGGGATGAATGACCTGACAATATATGTATCTGTAGGAGGATCAGTAGGGATGAATGACCTGACAATGTATATCTGTAGGAGGATCAGTAGGGATTGTGACAATCACAGCGTCAGACCCCAGCCCTTCTCACCAAATTCGTGACCGAAGGTCTAGCCAATCTAAAACTGCTGTCAAATGCGTAACAATTCCCCGCCCAGCTGCACCCTGCACAAAGATTTTTCAGCTCACTGGACCACAATTGATGTACCGGCAGCCTAAGAGTGATTGTTACTGGGTCAGATTAATTACACAATTAACCCTTCACACTGCCACCACCTCCTTTTTGTACAGAGAAAGAGGAAACTTGGCAATATTAGCAATAACACTATGATGGTTAGATAATCGTCTGTATACCACTGTCACCGCAGGTAGGTTATACAGAAGGTTAAACAGCCACACAGTATCGCTCTTCAGCGGCAGGGATTCGTAATTTGCATTAAAGAGCATTAGAAACAGTTCAACACTTTCAGAAAGTAAGATTTATTACTAAAAGATCAAAAGGGTGCAGCAATAAAAATATTTACAGAAAAAGAGGTAGCCAATATATATATATATATATATATATATATATATAAGTATACAGAGAACAATAGCACAGCAAAGAGATAACAGAAAGGAATTTAGCTAAAGTACTTGCCAGTCAGCCTTGGTTTAAGCAGTTTCCAAGTTTCAGAGCCAAAAGGATGCTTTGATCTCCCACTGTTAGTTTTGATCTTAAAGCAAGGAGATTCTTCAACTCTCACACACAGCTCAACTCAGCCTAGCTTAGCTTTTCTAGCAAATCCACAGGGTGTCTCCCTGGATCAGTAACCCAATCGCCTCATTTGGGGAGGGAGGTATAGGTGGAGCCCTAAGTTATGACCAAAAACTCTCATAGCTTCTAATATGATTCATAACTTATTCTCTGGGCATTTAGCAACCAGGCTTCTTAACCATTTGCCACCCGCCCTATGGCCGAATGGCGGCCGGCAAATGTCATCAGCATTCCGTGTGGACGCCATATGGCGTCCTCCCGCACATGCACAGATTGCGCTCCTGCAGAGCCGCGCAGCGGCGCGATCTTTCACCGGCCGTGTACCTCGGACATGGCCGATGACAGATCTGAGCATCGGCCCCGTTGCCAGTACCATGTGACCTGCTGTGACCAATCACAGCAGCTCACATGACAGTTGTATACAATGGATGGCTTCATTCTTGCCATCCATTGTATACTAGTGTCTAGCTGTGAATGGTCACAGCTAATCACATGCACCTGTCATGTGATTAGCTGTGGCCAAATCACAGCGAAGCACAAAAAAAAAAAAAAAAAAAAACCCTGAATGAATCGATGTCATTCAGGTAAATGCTTGCTTATAGCAAAGTAATTTGCTATAAGCAAATTGTGTAAAAAAAAAAAAAAAAAAAACTGATAACTTCCCCAAAGTAGTACAATGTTACTATGGTAACATTGTACTACTTTGGTCATAGTGAAATATGAAAAAAAAAAATCTTAAAAAAAATAAATATATATATATTTTTTTTTTTCATACTGTCACCAGTCAGTGTCCCTTATCACCGCCATGTCAGTTATATGATGACGCTGTACTGCACTGGTGACAATATGTAAAAAAAAAATAGTGAAACGAATTTTTAAAATTTTTTTCATTTTCCGAAAAATTATGACAAAAAAAATACAACTTCAAAAAACTCGCCATGCCTCTTGTGAAGTACGTCGGACTGTCTACTCTGCAAAAAGGGGTCATTTGGGGGATATCTGTCCTGACCTGACATTTGGGGGGTATCTGTACTGTCCTGACATTTGGGGATATCTGTCCTGTCCTGACATTTGGGGGATATCTGTACCGTCCTGACATTTGGGGGATATCCGTACCGTTCTGACATTTGGGGGATATCTGTACCGTCCTGACATTTGGGGGATATCTGTACCGTCCTGACATTTGGGGGATATCTGTCCTGTCCTGACATTTGGGGGATATCTGTCCTGTCCTGACATTTGGGGGATATCTGTACCGTCCTGACATTTGGGGGATATCTGTACCGTCCTGACATTTGGGGGATATCTGTACTGTCCTGACATTTGGGGGGATATCTGTACTGTCCTGACATTTGGGGGATATCTGTCCTGTCATTTGGGGGATATCTGTACTGTTCTGACATTTGGGGGATATCTGTACCGTCCTGACATTTGGGGGGATATCTGTACCGTCCTGACATTTGGGGGATATCTGTACCGTCCTGACATTTGGGGGGATATCTGTACCGTCCTGACATTTGGGGGATATCCGTACCGTCCTGACATTTGGGGGATATCGGTACCGTCCTGATATTTGGGGGATATCGGTACCGTCCTGACATTTGGGGGATATCGGTACCGTCCTGACATTTGGGGGATATCGGTACCGTCCTGACATTTGGGGGATATCCGTACCGTCCTGACATTTGGAGGGATATCCGTACCGTCCTGACATTTGGGGGGATATCTGCACCGTCCTGACATTTGGGGGGGATATCTGTACTGTTCTGACATTTGGGGGATATCTGTACTATTCTGACATTCTTGGACCTCAAGAAATTCGATTGGCTGTCAGTACTTCAGGATTGATCAATATTCAGATCTATACCATAGTTTGTGAACTCTATAACTTTCCTACAAACTAAAAAATACATCCTCTGCCGATTCTTGGGCATAAACATAAAATTAGTGAAGCGCTTGTATCTCATGAATACAATCATGTGTCTCCATAAAGTATAATAGTAAATCAAAGTGACCACGATATATATTAAAAATATGTGAACTCCCTCTAGTGGATAGAAAAAATAATGTCAACCGAAATGACTATAATGGCTAAATATCACACATTAAGAACCTAAATATGTAGTGCATAAATCAGATATACTAAACAAAGTATATATACATGAAAACAGAATAATTGGCCACATAAAATGGTGTCTAAATCAAACATAACTAATATATGCCATAAGTGAAAAAGACAATATCAAAGGTGAAAAAATATTCCATGCATGTGACTGTGCTTTAAGCTGGAACACACACGTGATCTCCACTTCTAAGTGCAAGTACTCTCCTTCAAATGGCAGCAATGCCTGCTCACCTCCCTTCCTCGACCCACACAGGGCCTCAAAGCAGTTACCACCTCAGTGGTGTATTCCTCTGGCAGACTCCTTAATCCTCCTCCTCTCTTATGCAACTCATAAAAAGACAAGAAAGCCTTCCATAGTGTAGTAAGTTTTAATAGGCAAAGTAAAAAGTGACAAAGTAAACCACTCACATGCTCCTTTCCATAAACAAGCGTTTTTCCCAGCCTGTGGGTAGATATGCATGCACCTGGGGGAATCCAATATGGCCACTGTGTCCGGACATACGTCACCAGGAAGTAGACAAACCGACGCGTTGCGTCACGTGCGTCGTGACTTCATCAGGGGCATTCTTGGGCATGCTGCCGAACATGTTTTTAGCAGTTGCCTGTATGCCCTTTCCAGATGCAGTTCTTTCTTCAGCAGGTATTCCAGATCTGGTTCAAGCTCTGGGACCCCTGTGAGACCGAACATAGCCTCTCTGTCTTCTCGCAACTCCTCCAGGGTAGGTTCTCCTTCATCGCCAAACACAAAATTATCTGTAAGGCTCTCCCACAGCTATCCAGGCCTACCAAAGTCATGTCCCTCAGGAGAGCATTCTGTTGTCACCCCTAAATATTCCTGCTCTGCGTACCATTGCAGAGCCCGATATCTGTTGTCCAGCTCTATCTCCTGCTGGACCAACTTGTCCAACTCAGTCACCCATTGTTCCTCAGGTCGCTCTCCCACGAATGGCATCTGTAACTTCCGATGGTCCCTGGCCCATTCCCCTGGGGTTGTATAGCACTTGCCCTTGTACATATCAGCAACCTGGAGGGCTCCACTCCAAAGTACCACCCGAATCCGCTGCCTGAGCTCCAGGTACTGATCCATAGACACAGTCCTGGGGTATGTTGCAAGAACAGTCTGCAGCAGCCCTGGAAACTCCGATGCCAGGTCTAATGTGACGGAACCGGACCCCGATTGCACTAGGGTATTTCCGTTAGACTCCCTCTTTCCTGTCTGAACACAAATCCACGAAAACCACCGCAGACCAAACAGGACAAAACAGCACCAGGCTTCTTAAGACAGGAAATGAACTGCTTTATTTTAACACAAACACAAGATATATACACAGGGTGGGGAAATACAATCAGTAACAGGAAACACATCAGCAGGCCGTCCCATCAGGGAGAAGGGCTGCAGGAAACACCCCCCACCAAACCAAGACACACAATGAAACAATGGGATACACTATGTGGCAGTAGACAATACAGGAACACATACATCCCATAATAGTTTGCTGGCAAGCAAGACACAATAGAGCAAGGAACAACTATGTGGCAGTAAACAATGAACAACCCCCCACCTATACATGTCCACACAATACTAGGACAGATCACCCTGTACCCCTAACAGGCACAGGGTGACTTACACATCAGAGGGATTTGGGGAGCTGAGACAGGGGTCTCCCCACCTCTCCAAAGGGGGCTGTGTTCCATGGGCCCCCCACCCAAAGTGACTCCCATCACAAAGTGACTTTAATTACCACTTTAATCAGCCACATAACCTGTGTAATTAATATAATTAATATGTGTTTTTGGTTTTAAAGGGATGAGGTAGCAACCCTAGTTAGAGGACAAATGGAATAGTATAACTTGAAGGGTTATGGTGAGGGGAGCGAGAAACAAAAATAAAAATATTTTACAGGAAAGCAATGAGAAACATTCCTTCTACTGAGAAGAGGGATGTAATGCAATTTGTATGGTATATTGTGGTAGTAGAAAGTTAGGGAAAGACCAATCAGTGTGTGCTGGAGGTGGAATCTCACTAGAGAAAGACCAATGTGTGGATTACGGGTGGGATTTAATTGTGGAAAGACTGATGTGTGTGCTGGGGATGGGATCTCAGAGGAATACTAATGTGTGTTTCTGGAAATTGGATCTCACTGGGTAAGACCAATATGTTTGCTGGTGGTGCATCTCACTGGAGAAGACCAATGTGTGTGCTGGGATCTCACTGGGGAAGACCAATCTGTGAGCAGGAGGTGGGATTTCCCTTGGGAAGACGGGATCTGAACCTGGGACCTCTGTGGTATCTGGCTGTAGCTCTTCTCATTGTGCCATCAGATGTGCTGGTCAGCTCCCTGCCTGATCCCTTGGACAATTTAGCCTTGTATCTCTTTTCTTGTGAACGTTGAACTCTTTGCTCCTCCCACACATTTCCTGATTTAAGCCATGTTGTCCTGTTTTCCAGACTATTGTGCTCTCTCCAGCTGGTATCTTGCTCATTGCATACCTGCTGCTTTCCTTATCTTGACTACCATTTGTTATCTACCTTTGACTTGTTCATCAGCTACTCTTCCATCAGATCCCATCCACCTTTCTGAGCTTTGGCTTGTTCATCGACTATGCTTCTGTTTGTTCCTTTTCTACTATATCTGTGACTTGACCCCCACCTGCTCTTTCCCTGCTGGACAATCCATGGTGCTACAACCTGGCATTAGCATGCAGAAAAAACCCATCTCCACCAACAGGAACTCTAATAAAGACTGGCTAGTGGTTAGACCCCGAGAATCAGAGGAGCCTGTGTCATCTGCTAGAGGGATCTGCTTGTATATTTCTAATTTATCACTCATAAACTTCTTTACTGCTACAGTCCCTTACCTCCGAGCCTGACCCCAGACCATGACAGTGTGTGCTGGAGGGGGGATCTCACTAGGGAAATACCAATGTGTGTGTGCTGGAGGGGGATCTCACTGGGGAAAGACCAATGTGTGTGCTGGAGGGGGGTTCTCACTGGGAAAATACCAATGTGTGTGCTGGAGGGGAGTTCTCACTGGTGAAATACCAATGTGTGTGCTGGAGGTGGGATTTTAATGGGGAAAGACCAGTGTTTATTTTTGGGGGGTCTCACTGAAAAAAGACAAAATACATTGTTTTTAGAAACCATACAGTAGGGTCGGGGTCCTTCTCATGTGGCTTTGAGGACAACATTGAATATACACAAATCCTTTAGACTACAGGCTTGGGGGGTGCCTTAAAACTGCACACGGTGTTACAGAACAGTCCGATTTTCAGGGACAGTCTCAGCGACAGCATGCACAGAGGAATTGATTATTTTCTTGTACAATTATCTTGGCTTACTTACAGCAGAAGCGCCCCAATCTGATTCATTTCATTTTATTCACTGTATTCAATTCAATGTAGATATGTTTTTTTTTGGTGGTTTTAGCAGCAAGGTGTATTTTCCATCAAGCAGTTATTGACACTTTGAAGAGAAGTCAGGGAAGTCTCCATGGGAAGATTGTAGATGATATCAGCATTAAGTGTGATGTATAATCACATCGCCCCCCCCCCATGGGGTTCGCTGATATCGGTTCTGATTACAATGATAGATGGAGATTGAGTTGGACAGCATCCAGTATTCCCATGTTCACTATACAAAGTGTATCTAATATACAGGGCTATGTATGTAATAAGGCCGTACAGACAGGAATGAGGTGTAGAGGGCAATGCACCAATCAGGTTTTATGTTTACATCAGTTTAGATGAGTCACACCAAAGAGAGGTGGCTGCTGATTGGTTGATCTGGGTTCCTGTAGTCTGTATATTGAGGTTTACTACTCACCTTCACATTCTGGATGATTATCCCACTCAATGGATGTTCCACTCTTCACACATTGTAGGGAGGGGTAGGAAGGGTGATATCCAGCTGGACAATTTACTGTCACTGTATCCCCAATATCATAGAATGTCTTCTCTGGATCCAGCTTTGCCTTTGTCCAATCCGGCTTCCTACACAGAGCTGTAAAAAGATTAGAAGGGATCAATGGGGAAAAGATGATTTAATTTTCTTTTAGCACAAAATGTAATTATCTATAGGGTGATCAGTAGGGATGAATGACCCGACAATGTACGTATCTGTAGGAGGATCAGTAGGGATGAATGACCTGACAATGTATGTATCTGTAGGGTGATCAGTAGGGATGAATGACCTGACAATGTACGTATCTGTAGGGTGATCAGTAGGGATGAATGACCTGACAATGTATGTATCTGTAGGGTGATCAGTAGGGATGAATGACCCGACAATGTATGTATCTGTAGGAGGATCAGTAGGGATGAATGACCCGACAATGTATGTATCTGTAGGGTGATCAGTAGGGATGAATGACCCGACAATGTACGTATCTGTAGGGTGATCAGTAGGGATGAATGACCTGACAATGTATGCGTCTGTAGGAGGATCAGTAGGGATGAATGACCTGACAATGTATGCATCTGTAGGGTGATCAGTAGGGATGAATGACCCGACAATGTATGTATCTGTAGGAGGATCAGTAGGGATGAATGACCCGACAATGT